GAGAGGATTTGTTCTGATCTTTTTTGTTTCCTTCTTAGTTTTCTTATTGTCTCTTTTGAGTGGTGTGTAAATGTGGTTTATTTCTATGTGTCTATTGATGGCTGATTTGTCTGAATGCCAAGCTTCCAGGAATTCCCTAGTGTTTTTGGGTTGAGCTTGGTCTAGGATGCTCCCAGTTTCCCAGCTGAAACTATGGTTGAATCTGTCCAGTTGAAACTATGGTTCAGTCTGCAAGTTTGGTTATACGTACTTTGCTCACATTGGTTGCCTGCTGCTCAGACAGGAATATTTCCAGCTCTAGCTAGAGATGCTTGGGATTGATCCTGTGCTCCATTGCTTTCCCCAATTCTCTGGATCAAACAACTACTTCTGAAAAGTAAGTTTCTACTATTTGAAACTGGGAGGTTTTAGCAGTAGACAAGTCCCCCAGGGTCTGGAAAGTTTCTGATTCCTTCCAAAGTGTCACAGAAAAACTAATGACTTCATATAGCAATACTAAATTACCTTCATATAATGTATTGATATCACTGATGGGAGGTCTTTAGAAGAGAAGGGCAGCTTTGGCGTACTAAGCAAGGATGTTAGGGGCCATGGATGGTAGGTGAGGTAAAAAGAAATAAGCAGCTGAGCAAAACTAGAAATAATTCAGTAGTTGTTGCTGCTGTTACTATGATATACTATTTCTATACTATGACATAACTGTCTGGAAAAATATGTGCGGCTCTCAGTTGGCAGCAGTTCTTCAGGCTCATTCCTCCGTCATTTCATACCAGATACTTCCTTACCTTAAACTGGAAATAACATAGATCCCAGGACTTTCTGCATGCCAATCATGTGCCCTGTCACTGGGTTATGGTTTTTCCCCTAAGTGGTTTGCATATTACAACATGTATTAATTGCCTTCTCAGAAGTGCTAGACACAGGCAGCCTCTGTGAATACCAGTTCCAATCTTTTAGCTGAGAAGGCCTGTTTGACCTTTTTGCCTCTGAGAGTTCTGCAGGAATGTTGTGATTGCTACACTCCGCAAACATTAAACCCAGCATGTTCTAGCACACTTCCACCAATCAAACATGGGTTGCCTTACTTAGACTGAGGAGCAAAGATGTAGACAGACCAGGAATCTCTTTCCTTGCACCAGGAAGGGAGGTGTGCCCTTATCCAAGCCTTCATACGATCCTTTTTACTCTTCAAGAGAAAGAGAAAAAGAGAGAGTCATTGAGAAATCAGTCATATGCTCATTCTACATTGAAAACCAGGATCTGAAAACAGATGGCGGACCGGTGAAGAGTTCATATGGTTCTTTAATTTCCATTCTTGCCCCATCAGTCCTGAATATATTTTGCTGACCTTCAAGCTGAAGATCATCTCTGATGGGACACCTAGGTTGTAAACCAAAGACTAAAGCATACAAACAAACAAATCTGTGTGGAGGCTTAGCCACTGCTGAGTTGCTCAGGTATGGATTAGAGCTAAGAATATCATCAGGCAGCTCCACCTATAGAAGTAATATGAAGAAGGAGGTCGCTGGGGGAGCAGCACAGGTTTAGGAAGTTTATTGAAGAGATGTGCACCACTGTGTACTGGACCTGCTTAAAAACCACTCCAACATAGCAGCTGTACTATAAAAAAAATACACATAACTGTTAAGAATGAACACAACTCTCACTCTATCTCTCAAAGCAACATAAGACAGTATGTTCCAACAGTATTCTGGAGCAAAAATGGGATAAAGCAAAGAGTTTGGAGAAAGAAGAGTAGCACAATCAGCAGCAACAATATTCTCAGGAGTCCCACTCTGTGATGTGGGATAAAATGGATGTGGCAAAGCCCCAACTGTTTTCAGAAGGCTGGTCTACATGGTATATATTTTATCACTTGTGCATTCAGAAGCCATATAATATTTATAGTCCTGGCTGAAAACAAGGTATGGTCTTGGAATAAGTCTCAATAGTGCTGGGCTATAATATACGTTCATTCATGAGATTTGTTGTGTGCCTTTGGGCTGGTTGCTACCTTTCAATCCTTTATAGGGCTGTTACGAAAACAAAATGGGGTGGAATGGGAGCAAATAATGTGTATCTCTTTCACCTCCATACAGGGAAAGAAGGATATATGTAAAAGATGCATGCTCAACACCTTACACATCTCAGCTACAGGCACAATGACAGAATTGTTGTTGCAAAAGCAATTGCAGGTAACCGCTGTTACTATAACATCTTCCCTATGACATATAATGAAGCTGCTTCCCTCATATTTGCTGCCCGGGAAGTCCTGCAGGGTGAGCACCCACCATACTGCGTAGGTAAGGGAGTCCGTTCCTCTTCAAAATGGCATCATTCCTCTGAAAAACAGGGTTACCCTGACAGGAAGGAAACACAAGCTAGGCTTCAATATCGCATTAAGCCACGCTTTTTGGAGTGGTGGCTTGTTTAAATAAGCTATGCACCAGGAGAAAACAAGCCAGATTGTCTCCAGAGATACGGGGGTGGGTGGGGGGTGAGTGTAGGGCTTCTGCTGCTACCTGCATGGTCACAGAGTCACTTTGTGTGAGATGGGTGGCTATATGAATGTGACATGTTAAATAAATAAACAACCAACCAACCAACCAACCAACCAACCAACCAACCAACCAACCTGTGATAACTTTTCAACACCAATCCTACAATGAAAAAGGAGCCGAAGCATGGAGGTAACAATCAAGCAATGTTAAAAAATACCCCAAAATGAAAATTATTTCAATTACTCTTTCATCTCAAAAAGCTCTTTATATTATGAAGTCCAGCCCTGTGGGCTCAGGCATGTGGCTCATTCAAATACCACTAGCAGAGTTTCAGGAGCCAAATGTACTTGAATCAAAATATGTGATCTGGTGACAACTCCAAGATGGAGTTTACAAAGGGATATTCTCACAGACAGACAGATATTGCCTAATAGCATGAGAGAAAAAAATCCAATGAAGCTTGAATTTGCTCATGCTATTAGATGGGTCAAGCCACTATGATGTAAAATTACAATCTGCTAGAAAGCAAATTAAGCCAAGTGAGACAAAACAAATCAAAGATGTTCCCAAGGTGGCAAATGCAAACTTAAAATTATAAAATTCTAAGCATTAAAATATTAGCTACAAGCTAGAAAACTGTTCTTTGTTTCAGCTCTGAAAAGCCAGACAGCTCTCTTGTTGCTTATTATTCAGACCTCAGTGAGTACGCATTGTTTGAAACAAATGATTACATTTAAAATTAAATATGTTTCTAGTCATTGGGAATTTATGAATGTTTCACCAATTAAATTTAGTCCTATGGCCTGATCACATGATATGTCTCCCCACCTGTGTGCTGGAGAGGCAGGATGTCCCTGTTCCATACGTTAAGGTAGCAGTAGTAAAAGCCAGATAATTAGGCAAATAGAAAAAAAAAGTTCTGTGCAATAAATTTGGATCCTTATCGCTGCTGTGCTGAGAAATGCAATTTCTAATGAGTGAACAGCAACTGCTCAATTATACAGATTGTATAACAAGGGAAGCTTCAGGTTCTTCATGGAATTCCACATTAAATCTGGTCTCTAACCATGATGGTTCCAGTGACTTGATGCATGAGGATTTGTGTTCAGTCCTTTCTGCATAGTCAAGTCTGGTATTTGCACTACTGGGATGCAACAGAATATAAATCTTTTATGTTTATGGTCTTTTTATATAGTTGGACTTTTTTAACTAAATTGATGTGGGTATTTATATTTTTAACTGTTTTTGAGGTTTTATTTTAATTATGAGCCACCTAGAGTTACCCTCTGGGGGAGATGGATGGCATATAAATTTAATAAATAAATGGATAGATAAATCTATCATGCACAGATAGACCTTTCCCTGCTGAACGAGGGCCCTTCTGCAAACAGATGACTAAAAGACAATAGCATAAGGCCTTATGGTGGACAACAGCCAAAGTCAATGACCTGTATGATCAAAACATGTGCATAAGCTTTCCCTGGCAGGTAGATAAATCATTAGCAGTAAGATATATGTACACTAAAGGCAAGCAAATCCAGTATTAACTGCAGTTCATGTATTTTGCTTTAGGGCCCTCAATGGTAGAGGGACTTGATTAAAAAAAACAAAAAACTCTATTACGGCAGGACAAATCCCTATACAAAAATTCATACTGTACTGCAATTATATTAAAAGAAATGTCAGGTTAAAGGATATGGTTACATTCTCTCTCTCTCCTGAACCATCTCCAGACAACAGCAGAAGTCCTTGGGGCAACTGCTATGTTTGGATACATAGGCTAAACGAATGAGAAATAATTTGTTGATCAGCTCCATCTAATGAGATAGGAACTCCCTTTTTTGTGTAAATATTTAGATTTGTTGACCACACAGACTATAGAACAGATTTTGCATGTTTTTTCCTTAACCGTTTGATTTCCTCCACCCCGTGCCTTTCAGTGACAGCAGATTTAAACTCTTATAATCCAGAAGCACAATGACTGCAGGGCATCAGATTGGAGAAGGCAGCTACACTATAAAAAAGCAATTTACCTATATCCCAGTGATAGTTGGTTATCACAGTACTGTTACTTATGTAGTATTTCACCACATAAACTGAATCTTGCTCCTTTGTTTTTTCCTTACAAAGTCTTTACTATTTAGGGACTTCTAGAACAGGAGATTGCAAATACACATGAAAGCCATCAGGTGGGAGATGGCCTGGACTCAAATCCCAGGAAGCAAACCCCCCACAAATGAATCCCAACATTTCTTAAAAATAAGCAAAATTGTGTTTCTTTTGGATACTTGGCAGTAAATACAAGACCTATGAAACTAATGGAACTGAAAGGTATATACACATCTGATTTGCCATGAACTCAGCTAAGTACCTTATTAGCCTCAGATGCTAGGTAGAAGGATGACCACTATGATGAAAATGCTTGGGGATGAACAGTGTTCTGGTACAAGAACACTACTTGTCAACCAATGTAAGAACAGTTCAGATTACACTGATAAATATATCCTTGCTCTTTGCTTCTTTGCTCCATAACAAAGTTATATTTTGTTCAGTGACTAAACCTGCCCTGCCCGCAGAGGGCCTTCACCTACTGTGGAGCACCTGATTTTCAAACGCCCATCAAACCAACTTAATTAGGCAGGATTATTTAAAGACACTGGGGCCACATGAAGTATTATCCGGAAGGCTTCCCTGGGGTCATCAAGAAATAATCATAGCTTGGTCTTGATAATTTTGTAATTGGAAAAGGTTCCAAAAACACCTTTTATTCAAACCATGACTTGGTATTTATCTGAAGACTCTGTAGTTAAGTTAAAACCAGTCAGTGGTCTAGAATGCCCTTTTATATCTTTTTTGTCCAATTTTAATGCCAGAGATAGTTTGGGTTTATTTAATTTTTCCTAATCAAGCTATTAAAAGGCTAAATGGCAGAGGGAGAACAATCCCATTTTCCACCTACTACTCTTTATTTGGTTTGTCTATAGTAGATGATGGAAATATATTCAGTCAAATGTTTATTTATGTTTAGAGTTTCCTGAGCAACATCTTGGTACATGTTCAGATTCCATATTTTGCATGTTTTTTAAAGTTGTTCAAACCCAGCTCTCTCAGCCTGGTGTTCTCTGGATGCATTGGACTGTATGTTCTATCACCCATAAACAATAGTCACTGCCTGTGTTGGTTGGGGATTCTAGACACTGGTATCCAATATATCTGAAAAACATCAAGTGGAACAAGATGCTGCAATGCAATTTGTGTTTCTCTCCCTGTGAAGACTAGAGGTGCTAGCTTGCTTACAATCAGCTTGATTGCTTCTAGAGTTCACATTATGTTCAAAGCGATGGCTCAATTATTTTATTCAAGCCAATCTACTTCAGAAGACACACCTGCTCAGCATGAATAAAGATGTAGGAGAAGAAAACACAGCAATAAATACATTTGAGATAGTAAACATTATGGAGAGAATCTGCAATTTAGTAATGCAAGCCAAGTCCATGTAGTTCCAGATTGAATACTGTATATGTACCCCCAAAACCAACATTTGGTGGATGGTACACATGCTTCATTCCCTTTAATATCAGCTGGTGTTTTACTTATATGAGAGCCAGTTTGGTATAATGGCTAAGGCATCAGGCCAGAAACCGGGAGACTGTGAATTCTAGCTGGGTGACCTTGGGCCAGTCAC